GGCAATCGGTGTTCAATGTACATTCTGGTCGACAACCTTCGTATGGATTGCCATAATATTCTGGCAAACATTGACACGAGCCGGCGCCGTTTTGTTCTCGACACACAGCGTTCGCGGCACATGGGTTTGGCACACATGGCTCGACCGGCTCGTGTTCTATTGGAGTCTCTTTGATCGCGCATTGAACAAATGGATCGCCAACATAGCCTCTAAAGCATTCGCAAATAGGTGTATGACTGACAACATGACACTCGGCATTTTGGCCACACACTCCGTTCGCGCAAGGATCTTTGCAGTGTCGATTGACACAAGCAAGGTGATTGGCGCATTCCGAACTTGTCACACACTCAGGTCTGCAATTGGGAGCTTGACCGATGAAATCAGGCAAGCAATTGCAAGTGTAACTATTTCCATTAACACGGCATTCAGCGTTCGGGCCACACGGCGAGCTCAAACACGGGTTCACATAATCTTCTTCAACAGACGGCGGCGTTTGTTCAACTTTGATATGTGGAAAAGGGTGAATAGGTTAATAATGCACGAAGTTTAATGGATAAAGAGATAAGTCAGTTTCATTGCAATGTTATTAAGTTACAGGGACCGAAAACTGTTTGACGTTTCTCATACAAACCGATTTCGGAACGGTTTCACTGCTTTGCTCTCTGTTCATCGGAGCAAACCATATCAAGCGGAACGTTTTGAGAATGATTTGTATAAGCAACGTTAAACCGTGTTGTCACTGTGTTAGTTTTGTATACAGTATAAACGTTTCTGTATGCCATACAAACCATTTTTCAGAACGTTCCGAATGGTTCGGTTTGTTCAAACACTTAAACCAAATATTCGGTTTGGTTTGGCTTGGTTTGGTTTGGTTTGGTTTCGATCCCTGTTAAGTTATTATTGTTAGTTTTGAGTGATGCCTTGTCAAAAGACCATTGATGATCATGATCATTGTCTTACCAATTGGATGACAACTAACGAGAGCGCTGCCCGTGTATCGAGGCAAGCAAGTACAAATTGGATTATGGTTAACGACTCGGCATTCGGCATTCAAACCACATGCACCTAAGCAAGGGTTAATGCACTTCTGATTCTGACAAGCTTCGTTACTTGGGCAATCGGAATTTCCGACACACTCAGGACGACACGTTGGTGGACTGCCAAAGTAGCCAGGGAGACAAGAGCACACTGCTTGTCCGTTTATTTCGCGACACTGTGAGTAAGAACCACAAGGGCTGGGTCTGCAGCCGTGGTATTCTTCCACAGACGTTTGTTGAACGATTGGTCGGCATTGAATGAATGCATCTCCTTCTGTGCCACTTGGACAGGTGCACATCGGAAGATGATTGTAAACGTTACAAACGGCATTTGGTGCACATCTTGTACTCTCACAAGGATTCACGCACTTGTTTCGTATACAAGCCTTGTCTCTTGAGCAATCGCTGTTCAAAACACACTCTGGTCTACACAAAGTGTATGGATCGCCTTGCAAACCAGGGAGACAAGTGCAAACACCATCATTGCATTCTGCTCCATTTGCACAGGGTGAAGGATAACATTTATCACGCGGAGTATCTTGTTCGACTATTTCAGATTAGAAAATATACACGGTCAGATATGAATTGGAAATTAGCGTATGAAATTAAGGTCGAATCATTGTTTATGAAAGAGAAAAGAAAATTACTTTGAGGTGGTTCTGGATAACAATTGGAGAAAGCATCTCCAATGTATCCTTCGAAACAAGTACAAACAGGTATGTGATTGTAAACACTGCATCTGGCATTGATGGCGCACGAACCAGGACAGGGATCGACACAATGGTTTCGAATACAAGCTTTGTTACTTGGGCAGTCGGAATTGAGAACACATTCATGGTGACAGTTCGGTGGTGAACCATAATAATTTGGCAAACAAGAGCATTGCGGATAGTCGCCAATTGCTTGGCATTGTGAGAACTGTCCGCATGGATTAGGATAGCATGGGTTGGAGACGGAAACAGGTGTATCTTGGGGCGCTGAAATGTTATACACGATGTTATTATCAAAGTGAAAAACGAAATTTGATTTTGGAACTTTCGGAAAATGACATACGTGGTATTGGACTACAAATAGTGAATGGATTTCCAGTGTAACCGTTTCTGCATGTACAAATTGGGCTATGATTATTCACGCGACAGTCAGCATTTGATCCACAGATATTCGAGCAAGGGTTAACACATTTCTGGTTAACACAAGCCTTATCGAATGAACACTCAGAAGAGACGACACACTCTGGCCTACAAGCTGGAGCATTTCCAACAAAACCAGGCAAGCATGAGCAAATTGAAACGCCGTTATTATCTTTGCATTGACTGTTAGGGCCGCACGGGCTTGGACGGCAAGGGTTGGATGGTTCAGGAGCAGTTGCTAA